GGGCCGCGGCGGGAGGCGGCCCAGGTGCAGCTGCTTCTCCAGGGCCGACATGACGACGAAGGAGGCGCCGACACACAAGGACAAACCGAGAAACACCACCACCAACACCACCCCCCCGCCTTCTACCCAAAACCGGCCCCGCCGACCGCCTCGGCCGCCGCCAACCCTCGCTCCACCGGAAGCGGCCTCCCCTCACAGCGCCGCCGCGCGGCACCACGGGAACGGCAGCGTGTGGCCGCCGGGGGCACCCGTAGAGCGCCCTCTTGGGGGGGCTTCTGGGAAATGTAGTCCGCCTCTCAGTGGGGCGCTACGGAGCCGCGATGCACGATGGGAGTTGTAGTCCCGGCGAGCGCCGCTCCCGCCCAGGCGGCCGTTGCCGGGTGGCGGCGCGGCTTGAGGCGAGGCGGGAATGGGGCAGAGGAGGCCGCGGCCGCCCGCTCCGGCGGCGGGGGGCTCCCGGCGGAAGGGAGGTGGGTCGATCCCTGAAGGGAAGGAAGGGTCGTGGGGTGGGATGGGGGGACGGTTGGGAGCGCGGCCCAGCCCGGTGGCCCGTGTGGCGCCGTCCGCTGACACCCCTCGGTCCCCTCATCCTCTCAGGTACCGGCGATGTCCCCGCGTCCACCAGCCTGCCGCCACTCGTGGAGGGCCCTCTGCGCTGCTTCCTTCGCTGCACCGTCTCCCGAATCCTATGGACGGCCACCAAGCCACCCGCCGTCCTCGTCCGCCTGAGGTGGTGGGGAGAAACCTCCGACGGTACCGTCTTCCAGCCCCCCGGGCGGCCGGGACAACCGGCGGGGACAACCACCGCCCGCTACCCTGTCCGCTGTGGGCCAAGGCAGTTTGCTGCTTACCTGAGAGGTAGAGCCCCTTCTTCCTGCTCGGGTCAGAGTTGTGGGGAGACCTGCAAAAGCCAAGGAATTCTTTACCTGGCCAGAGTTGTGGGGAGACCTGCAAAAGCCAAGGAGTTATTTACCTGCCAAGTAACCCCAGTCCTGGTTTTACTTAGGGCTTTTTAGGTCATTTTTCTGATTCGGGAGGCTTTTGATCTCAGCCTGGAATTGCTGGCAGCAGTCTCTAGGTTTAACATTCAGGTCTGCAAATTACTGAAGTCTCCTGTAGTCCCCATAGAGTCGAGCTCAGATGATTTTTAGTATTATACATATGATATTGAACAGGCATTTCAGTGTTCTAAGGGTATGAAGAATAAAAAAAATACTCAGATGAGCTTGTAATGTTATTAAGGTACTTAATCTGGTGAAGGTTTTGTGGGAAATTGATGCAAACCTGATGTCTAAAGTCTCCTTAAAACCCGTGCCTGCTGTTGTTACTTATAGAGTCATAGAATTGTTCAGGTTGGAAGGGACCTTAAAGATCATCCAGTCCCACCCCCTGCCCTGGGCAGGGACACCTCCCACCAGACCAGGTTGCTCCAAGCCCCCTCCAACCTGCCCTTGAACCCCTCCAGGGATGGGGCAGCCACAGCTTCTCGGGGCAACCTGGGCCAGGCTCTCACTTCCCTCATCATAAAGCATTTCTTCCTGATATATTATCTAAATCTCCCTTCTTCCAGTTCAAAACCATTATCCATAGTCCTGTCATGAGTAGTCCTTTTGTAGTAGACTGGATATCTTGAACTTTTAAAGCTTAATTTATTATGAGTGTAACACTTCTTTACCTGCTGCCTCATTATCATAATTTCCTGATACACCGTTGTGTTAACCTCCAGCATCTCTGTCCTGTTAACAAAAACTTTGAAATTGTATTTAACTGTGACTGTGTTGTGTGAGACTGAAATGAAGCTGTTCCTAATTTTTGCAGACATGTCTGTGCTTGTCCTGGAGGTAATGACCAAACTTGACCGTCTTCCAGTTGGCAGAGTGCAAATCACCGGACTGTCCCAGCTCTCTCCCAGCCACCCCATCCATGGCTTTTTCACCATAGTTTCACCAAAATCTGAAAAACTAGGAGAGCTGCAGGTAGTCCTTACATCTTTTCTTTTTCTTTATTATAAATTGTATTGCTTTGAAAGTTAACAGACCTTAAAGACCATCTTATTCAACCCCTTGGCCCTGACCAGGGACACCTCCCACCAGAGCAGGTTGCTCCAAGCCCCCTCCAACCTGGCCTTGAACCCCTCCAGGGATGGGGCAGCCACAGCTTCTCGGGGCAACCTGGGCCAGGCTCTCACCACCCTCCCACCAAACAAGTTCTTCCCCACATCTCATCTCAATTTCCCTTCTTTCAGTGTAAAAAAAGCACCCCTTGTCCTGTGGCTCCCTTCCCTTATCAAGAGTCTCTCTCCATCTTTCATGGAGCCCCTTGAGGGACTGGAAGGGGCTCCAAGGTCTTCCTGGAGCCTTCTCTTCTCCAGGCTGAACTCCCCCAACTCTCTCAGCCTGTCCTCCTAGCTGAGGGGCTCCAACCCTTCCAGCATCTCCGTGGCCTCCTCTG